TTTTTGAGAGTGTAAGGAAACATCATTCCTGGGCAAAGAACTCCCAGTCTTAAAGTTATTGCCACTGGTTTGTGAGAATTATTTTTAAATTATTTTTTTTTTCCTCCTTCATGTTTTCTACGAGTTTAAAGTAATTTGCTTTATACTGTCTTATACGAATACAGCAGCATGGGAAGTCACATGGATTTCCTGCTTGTCCTTAGGAATAATTTACTTTGGATTAAATTCTGCTGCATGATCCCATGGGTTTTGGTTATGGGTATAATTTTTATCGTAACTTGCTTTTTAGGCTCAAGAAGATGTTCACAAATTAAAAGTTAGAGTGAAAAATACAAACGTGAAAGGCAATGTAAAAGCTGTGGATATTAGCAACCTCGAAACAGCAGTTGAAAGACCTGAACTTGGGCTCAGAGTAAGTAAAATTGAACCAATCCAGAAGACAATTCAGTTTTTGAGATCGCTGTCAGTTCCCTTGGAGTACAGGGAGTCATTTGTCAACCTGTTTCTGATGAGCAAATTATGGGATTCATCCATCCATCTGGATTGCTACATTAACCAAGTTAAATAATTTGAATCTCCTTGATACCTTTGTAATAGTCTAAAAATTATTTTTTCCCTCTTAACAGAAACATGCTGAAAATTATTTAAATGCTATAGACAGACAAATGTTAACTATTTCTCCTGCTGATAATAAAGAAGTACATTCAAAAGAGCCCCCTAAATGTTAAGTAAAACAGCTGTTTTATTGGAGAGACAATGTGAGTAGCAAGACAGAAAAACTGGTATTTTGCAAAGGAATTGGAAGTATTGGTCCAGAAAAGGTTATTTTTGGCATTTGCTATTTTGGTTTTATTTTGAGTTAAACAGTAAAAAGCAACTGCAGTTCTAAGTAGCTACTGCAGCCTTCCAACTCCAGTGATTTTGTTCACTAAACTAAAATTTAGATAAAAATGCATATTCAACCAGGTGGAAGCAATGTGGGTCTAACAGGTAAAATCAAAGTAATTGTTAAAAAGCTCACTCCCTGTTTCTTTCTAAATCAGGGACCTCCATTTTGGTGCTTCTCAGAAACAGCTGATTTTACCACCAGTACCTGTTGAGCCCATGAGTGCCCAGGCATGCAGCAAGTCAGCACCACGCATTCCTCAGAGTTCACAGGTCTGAAATAACATACCACTTCTTCTTCCAGAGACCACACTAAATGAGACTGGTGTCTTGTAGCTTAACCAGCTGGTCCCATACTCTTATGTTTTGACTCCACGTGGATTCAGGTTTTGATAACGTCATGTCCATGACTGAAAGCTTTAAAAAAATTCTCAGTAGAATGAGCAGGCTGAGAGGAGCCTTCTCCCTGCCTCACAATCAGGAGAAAATCTAAGTTAATCATGAGTGAACCCACAAGTTTTGATTTTATTTTTTTAATCCTTTTTTTTTCCCCCCTCAAGTAAAGGGTTGTGAAACCGAGTGTTTGTTCACCTTTAAGGTCCTAGTCCAACCACCATATGTTTAACAGGGATTCTGTAAGTAATGTGACTAAAATAAATGGAACTGCATTTTGGAATACTATGAGCACAGATATAAATCTTTATGTTGAGACTAAAAGTGGTTCTTGTTTTGTTGGGTTTTATTTTTTGCATAAAGGATATGGCAAATTTTAGGAAAAACTTCTGCTCATGTATAAGGTTGTCACCTCTGTGGGAAATGGAGAGTTTTCTCCTTGAAATTTGATTTTTCACTTTTTATAAATGGAATCCTTGTAAAATAATTCAAAGCTGCTTTAAAATGTTTGCATCTGAAGTATTTTTGATTTATTTATTTTTTATTCTGTGAATTTTGACTGGTGATTTCAAGGGAGTTTCCTCAAATACGTTTTAAAAATAAGGTAATTAGTTCAATTGAAAAATACTCAGTCACAACTGTGGGTTATTAGTGTTCAAATTCAAGGGAGTTGTGAGAGAGAACTGTAAGAAGAGACGCTCTGTAGTTCAGAGGCTGTTACCAGAAGCTAGGGATTGAAGCTACTTGAGATAATATAACCAGAGTGAGCAGCCTAAAGCTTGCATTGCTGGTTAGTTTTGTAAAATAATTCCCAATATAAAGTAGTATTAGGATATTGCTGACTCTTGAAATGATGGATAAAGGTGCAATGCGAGTTCTCATTTCTTTTCCAACCCTCTCCTATATAAGTACACTTAAATTGTTAGGAAAAAAAAAAGTACATTTTCAGAGTTCACCTACTCTGTAAATTCTCTATTAGCTGGTCTTTCAACCCTTGGTGTGCACTAATGAGCTTAATGTAGAGGAGCTCAAGCTCTGTCCTGCCTTGACTTTTCTTTGTCTTTTCATTTCTGGTATCTGTGGCATCTTCTCCCAAATGCATATCTAGTGACACACAAGCTAGTCCATATTTCCCATTATAAAGAAAAAGGCAAACAGGGCTGTTCTGCCAGCTGTTCTACATGCCAGGCATGCCAACAACAACAGAAAGCTTTTATTATTGAGTAGTTGTGAATTCCAGCTGGGAAATTATCACCTACGGTTCTGTACTTCCTGCTTTTTCTTTACTTGTAGCTATAAACAGTTTTGGGTTTTTTTTTAAGCATACTTTCTATTCAAAGGACTTATTGCTGTTGAACTGGATAGGTTTGTGTTTGCATACAGTATTTCTGGGTATGTAGGCTTGAGGAAATCAACCTTTCAGCTCTTAGTGGTCTGAGAGAAAGTAATAAATCCATAAAATTTTTGTGCTTTGAAGTCCCCAGTTGCTGTGGAAGGACAGGAATAGAGCAGAACTTATGTTTGTAGTGCTTAGGGTGAAACAAGGTTGGAGTCAAATAAACACAGATGCTGTTTTCACATGGGAAATAGCTTGCCCACAGGTGTCAGAATAGGCTTAAAATTACATTTTACTCACACAGACACTATTTCTGAGTCACAGCTGCAGCCAGATAAGACTGCAAATCTAACTTATGGGGGACTTGTGAAACACTGTCTCCTTTCCTCCCCACCCCCCCTACACCATATATTTTAATTGGATTTCTTTTTCTAAGAAAGCTTGAGAACCTTAAAGAGGCTGAAAGGACATTATTACCCATAAGTGGTAGGTGTGTAAGTGAATTTTTTTTTTAAATGCTTAATTGAAAAGACCAGAACTGATGCTAGTGCAGCTTTATTTTTTGGAGTTTTTTGTTTGGTTTTTTTTTGTTTGTTTTTTGCTAAAAGTTGATGCTTTCTGTGCCATTCTGAATACACAGCAGAAGTTAATCTTCTCCCATCATTAATAGAATTAAAGATGTAAATGAAAAGGTGTTTCTAGAGGGCTCTAGAATATGTAAATAACATAGCTAGACAGGAAAAGTGGTTTAGTTACTGATAATACATTTTATTTCAAATATTAGTGTAATGTTGTCTATTCATAATGGAATTGGACTCTGTTAGAAGCCAGGCACCACATGCATCTGCATAAGAGGATTCCCTAGTTGTTGGCTCACTACATTATAAAAATGCCCTCCACTCTGAAATGACATTTGTGTTGAAGTAGAACAAGATTTGAGCCGTTAAACTGTACTGAACATGTCACCTTGTTCCAAATGTCCCAGTATACCACATGTTAATAATGAAGCACAGTAATTCTCATTCATGTTGAGCATTATATTTGTAGTAATGCACTATTTGCACTGATAGTGTCATTTCTGTTGTACATCATGATGGTTCAAGACAGCTTTCATTTTAGACTTTGGATAACACAGCTGGATGGATAATGGAGATGGAAGAGACCCATGATACCAGCTGCTGCAGATGTAGAACTGTGACTTGCCATACATCTGACAAAGTAACTTTTATCAGGGTGTTTTGTTTTGTTGTGGTTTTTTTTATTAAGCATTTAAATTCTTGTTATCCTGAGTGGAATCTGCCACTCCAGCATTGATCATTTCACTCTCAGTCTGAGTGGGGAGTCCTGCATTGTGCATCATCTCCTATTTTAATTGAGAAGGTACTCAGTTTTCCCCCAATTCTTGTTTAATAGCACAAGCAGTTTCCTCTCTGTACAGTGTTGCATTATAGTAATAAAATAAATACCACAAAATCACTGATGAGGTGAAAATTGAACTTTCTGTCTCTGTGCAGCCATGTGGGTAAAAGAGTAATTGGCTTTGATAATAACTTTTGTTCTTACAACCCCAAATCTAAATGAGCCTCTCTTTGATACATCTGCTTGTAATTACTATCAAAAGAAGAGAATATATTGTGCAGATAAATAAATTAAACCATTTTCGTGCTTTCACAAAATACAATTGTTTAATAGTTCAGATATACAACTAATGATTCTTAGACTTTTAATGGCATCTTTTGTGTGACAAAAAAATAGAATTCTCATAAATGTATTTTTATGTTTATGCCATAGAGGTATCAGCAGAGAATTCTTGTGTATAAATAGATTTAGTTGGGTCTTACTGTGTTAAGGGAGCTTTTTGTTCTGTATCCATGTAGTGGGAGTTAAGCACATACACTGTTAGGCCCCAGCTCCTCTGAATCACCTTTGCTGTTGTCTTCTCTGATGACACATTAGTTTCTGCAATGTGAGGATTTTTCCTTCCTTGGGACTGGTTGGTAAATAAACCCTGTGGAATGTAGGGTCTAGTTAGCCATGTTGCTGCAGGAAAAGTCTTGGGAAATGCTACTGCACTGGATACAGGTGTAAACTAAAACACGTACTAACATGAACCAAAATGTTTTCAATTTCAGAGGCTTCTCACTTGTGGCTTTTATATAAGTATGTGCTTTTGATACTTCTTACATCAAGAAGAAACTTCAAAAGTTGTTTTTCTGTCTGTTGGGATTTAACTAATAATGATTTTTAATAGCAAAATAGCTGAATCCATTCTGTTCAGATAACACAGTACATTAAGAAACTACTATGCTTTAATTATTGTTACTGTTAGGATTTTTTATTTCCTCATTTACTTTTAAGTGCTGTATCTGCATGGAGTCAATGGGCCATGACCGATCCAGAGAAGCTGTTCTGGCCCATCAGGCCCATGATTCCTGAATTAAAGTCTCTGGCAAACATGGCCAAGGTAGATTGGACTCTTACTATCTGTGGGAAGAATGTACCTGTAATACCCTCCCTCTAGGTAGGGTGTATATAACACCTTTGTTGCAACACAGGCAAAAGGTATCCACAAATTATTGATGTTAATCAAGTCAATCAAACCTGATTGTGCTTTCCACTCAAAGGTGTGAAAATTTGAGAATTCCAGTGCATGTAATGAAATCATGGCAGAAATTCTGGCAAAAGCATGTGTGTGGACAGTAGCTGCATGTCTTGTGAAGCCATGTGTCTGAGCAAAAGGCACTTCTCTTTGTTTGCTCACTGCTGTGTGGATAGTCAAATAACACAAATTGTTATGATGATTCTGCAGGTTTATGAATGCTTTCCAGTTCCTGCTATAAACACTTTGGTCCTAGTGCAGTTATTTTAAGAAGATGCGTATTATGTATTTCAGCATCAGCTGGAAATGGATATGAAGATTATGCTTGATCCAGAGAACATAAATGTTTTGAAACAGCAGAACTGTGAGACCAGGCTGCCACTTATAACTAAGAAAAAACCTGCTCCTGTAAGTAAATTACATTTTCTTGTGGGCTCATTACATGCATTATTTTTCACTATTGAAGGTAACAAATATTAGATCTGGATTTAAAAAAAAAAAAAGTGCAACTACCTCACAATTTTCTACTTTTTGACCTCAATATGTGATGATAAAAATATATTGAGTGACAATACTGGAGAAAACAAACCTGTAGCATAACAGGTTTAAGTAGCAAAACCCCAGTCCAGCAAAAGTATAAGTAGATATGGGAATGTGCTTGGGAATGCGCATGGTAAGGCAACTCTGTAAAATCAGGGAATTAACATAAACTGGAGCTTGTGAAGCTTAGGATGTGACCCAAAGTTGAAGAAAGAAGTAAAAGGGGTTTTGCTGACAAGAATAGACTTTGAGTTGTTCATTCTACGGCCATGTCTTGAACAGACAAGAATACATTCTCTTCTCAAATGATAATGGGATTGTTAGGAAGGAGTGAAACGTTGCTGACACTGACCAGAAATTAGTGTCACTGAATGAAAAAAACAGAGGTTATACTGAAAGAGAATTGAAATCCTGAGTGACTATGAGAATTTAGGTGTCATTTACATCTTATTTTTATGACATGGTTTGGGAATGTTGGATTTTTCTTCTTAGCTCCATGCTGGGAGCACTTGGTTTGGAATGTGAGGGACAGATTCAAATCCTTTCTTTCCATATGGAGGTGTTCCCATGTCTTCTAGATCCCAAGTGCCCTCACTGTTGAGCTACAAGGTATTCTGAAGTACAGCTTTTCTTTTACCTCTTGTCAAGCTGTCTTCCTTGGTGCTGAACTATTATCTACCAAAGCTGAGACTGAGCACTTCCACAACATTTTCTCAGAATGCTGATTAATATCCATCAAATCCCTTTGTCATCTGAGAATGCTGACGTTGTCTAAGATTAAGTTTTGATTCTTCCAAATTTGTGTTCTGCAAACTCCGCTCCTCTTAAATGAACAAATCACAGAATTATGATTTGATTTGGAAGGGACCTTAAAGATCATTTAGATCCAACCCCCTGCCATGGGCAGGGACACCTCCCACTAGACCAGGTTGCTCCAAGCCCCATCCAACCTGCTCTTCAACACTTCCAGGGATGGGGCAGCCACACCTTCTCTGGGCAACCAGAGCCAGTGTTTCATCACCCACACACTAGACAATTTCTTCCTAATGTCTCACCTAAATCTCCCCTCTTCCAGTTTTAATTCATTACCCCTTGTCTTTCTCCAAAGCATGCTTTTAAAAAATTTAAATTGGCACAGGCATCCCTCTACAGATGAATCACGTTGACAAGTTCAGCACAGCACTGCGGTCCACGTGAAGGAATGTGCCCAACAGTCTCTCACACAAGGATGCTCATCTGCAATTTAATTTATGTAATCGAAGCCTGATGCAGCAAGCCCAGTGCTGGAAGAGACATTCTAGGGGATATGGTTTTAAACAACACAAACAGAATCTGTGAATGGCACAGCTGTAAGCTGCCACTTATAAAAAATGATTTTTGAAAGCTGTTGCCCAGACTAAGAGGTGATTTGTCTAACCCTGTGATACAGAGTTAATTAGAAAAAAGCATCATGGCTAATAGCTTTTTAGAACCACTCTAAAACACTTGCAGAGAGGAATATTATACTACTGCAGAGAGCCATGTGTTTTACCACTCTCACTGAAACATTCTGATCAGAGAAAACTTCTTAATGTTGACTTAAATTACAAACATTTAGTGTAAATTAGTCAAGCTCTCTGATACATATTTACAGTTGCTAAGGGACTGTTTGTAACAGGGAGATGGGCTGAAAAAACAAGTAGGTATTTCTTATCTCTCATTTATTCTACAGTGTTTACTGAAGTAAATGCGTTTTAGGAGTTTTTTTAATCACATGACAATCTGTGTTTTTGAAATGTTCTGGCTTCACTGGGGGTACAATTTTACAATTAGGTTTGCATGGTCCACTGCTGAGCTTGTGAATTAAGGCATTTTTGTGAGATGTGATCTGTGGTAGCACTTGGAGGAATGACAGTTACAGATCATCGACAGGAGCGAAAATAAATTGGTGTGTAGTTGCAGGACTAAAATTATATGGTCTTTAGTTTTGAAAAAGATTCCAATTAAAGTAGCTACAGGAATTAATTTAAGTGCTACCTATCCTGCTTTTACTAATCAGCCATTAGAGGGCAATATTTGTACACACACATGCAGACCCACACTTGTATCTACACATGTACATGCCCTACATATGTACATAAGTTCAAAGATAATCTCACAGAAAAATCACTGACAGAAGGGCTCTCATTGAAGTAAATTAAAAACTAATTACTTGGTTAACTGCATTCAGGTTTTTTCTAAGAGTTTTCAGCATCTGAGTTTTCAAGGAGACCTGAGCATTTAAAAATGTGATGAGATTAGAAGCAGGCTGGCTTTGAGGTGACTGGGTAGGTCAAGCCCAAATCTACACGGAATTATTTTATCTTGCCATTTGACTAGTTTGAAAAATTATTAGTAAGGATCTCATTGTCTCAGGGTAAATGTCATCTTTTCTTGCTCTTCAGGTATTCTAAAGTTGCTGACGCTGGGCTTTATGACAGAAACTAAGAACCACTAATTATTGCCCTTCTGTACAGTTTTGGGTCTGATAAGGACTAATGCTTCATCCTCTGTAAAGTTCTGGAGTTACCCTAAAATGGGGGCTGTCATTCTGTTTGAAACACCATGGGCAGACTGGGCATTGCTCTGTTTTGCAGCCTGTGTCTGGGTAACAACTGAAAACAGTTCCCATGGAGTATCTAGCAGAACAAACAGTGATCTGAACTGCAGCAAAAATAGTTTTCAGGGACTGCTGCAACATTGAAAAGATTCACAGCTACACCTTTCGTTTTCATAGGTCTGGTGTTCTTTTATAGAATTATACTGGCACTTTTTAGTTCTTGTTTTCTTATAACTGTATATTATACTGTAAACTTAGGAACCTTTTAATTTATTCATGAGGTAGAATTTAATATGGTGATGATTTCTAGCCTTTATGAGTTGCATCTTGTGTAGTGTGGCTCTAATGGTGATGGCAGTGATTCTGGGGTGGGGTTTTTTTAAGCTAACGTATTTGAGCACAACTGTTCTAATCATCTCTTCAGTTATTCTTTCTTTATTCAGTATTTGCTTCATGCTAGTCTCTTAATGCTTATCACTGCAAATCTAATCATTTCCAGAATTATAATGTCAGGCAAAGCAGGGCAATTCTTTTCATTTCAAGTGACTAGAAGTTTTAGAAGAAAAACAGGTCTTCTGGCCCTCACAACTTAATTGTGTTTTAAATTTCTGTATGTGGCCATAATTACAGTCAAAACAAAATTTGGCTGTGGTAGCAGAATAAGACTTAAATCAATGTTGTAATTCAAAATAATGTTGTTGCATTTGTATTGTGGTGTGTAATCATAATGGACAGCACAGTGAATTAATAAAATCTTCTTGTCACTAAAAATAAAAAGGAAATAATTGGTGAGGTAGAGTTAACTTAACAGATTACTATAGTCAGCATCCTTTCAACCTAGAAATAGGAATGTGAAGGTCACCCCCATCTGAGATGACAAACGTAGAACATTTTGTTGGTAAACAAATTAATCTTTTGAAAGGTTACCATTTGTTTTAAGTTTTTATCCAGTTCTTGTCATCTGGAATTGGAGATGGAGTGTCATTTTGCTAGGCAGGGGTGCAGCCGAAGCTGCTGAAGCTGTTTATGTACATATCAGCATTCCTTGACAAAACTCAGTGCCTGATTGGGATGCCATGGGCTGCTGGTTTACAGCTGTCTCTGGACAGGAATGGAGGCCCACCCCTGAATTCCAATAAGTTGGTCCTGCATATTTGCCTGGTGTAAGCTGGCCCTTTGCCCACAAGTAAAATGTATTGGAGTTCAAGCCAGCAATTATCTTTCTTACTTCCTTCTGTGCTGCTTCTGTTGCCTTTTTCAAAAAGCAGATGTGGGATTCACCGAAGTTCTCCATCTATTCTCTCTTGCACCTGTTATGGCAGAATTTTGATGGAGGTGAAATTCTGGGAGAGCTAGCAGTAGGCTATCAAGGGAGTAAAGCTTGATTTTTCCAAGCACACAGAAAACTGTCAGTTCAGAGCCACCTCTGGTTACTTTAAGAGCTCAAAGTAGGTAAGAATAACATGTAAGACCTGTTGTTGAGGATTCCTGTTTGCTTCGTATTTACAGCTTTGTGTTGGCCTTTCCATTTAAATTGGATTATATTTTCTGTAGATAAAAACCTGAGGGAAATAATCTTAGTATTACATGAAAGAGAAACTGCAGTAATCATTAGGTAGATAAAATGCTGAACTATGTAAATTGAATTAAGAAGGACAAGTTTTAATTTCCTATGCAGTTTTACTATTCAGAAATCTTAAATAAAAAGGCAGTCGTAAAAATTGTTCATATTTTAAATCTCTTACAGAAACTGTTGCAAGTTTGACTCATCTGACTTTTCAAATGGTTTCACTGACATTAGTAAGAATCTGCATTGACTTCCATATGCTGGTTCTTATTAAAGGATCAAAATTAAGTTTGAAACCATAGTTAAACACTTCCTTAGTTTACTATTTAATACCAAGATTATTTGGCTTGGTCAGGATGGGATTCTTTTTCCCATTAGAAATTGGTAGATGTTGGAAGCATGAGTGAAACTGATCTCTGATACTGCTCCCTAGCTTTACTGCTCAGGGGTCTATCAACAAAAAAATGAGTTCATTTATAATTGTGAGGCTGTTACCAGCAGGCTCTGTTCATTTGTAACCACTTACAGGGCAGACCCATTGAAGCCTCTGAAGTATTCTACCCATATTGTTATAGAAATTCTTTCTGAATTAGTTAGCAAAGCAGCTCTGTGTATCTCTCACTGTAAGTTTGTCTCAAGCCTCCTTTCTTAGCTTGCTGGTATAGGACCATGCAGGTAGCTTCAAAAGCCTTGCTGAAGTCAAGATTAGCAGCACTCACTTTT